GGACTAGATCCCTGTAACTATATCCTGCCTTACCCGGATTAGAACTAGTGAATTTAACCTCTCATAACCGGATTAGAAGTTGTGAATTTAACCTGTTTTATCCGGCTTAAAGCTTCTAACTTTAATCTGTCATAACCGGATTAGAACTAGTGATTTTAACCTATCATAACCGAACAATATCTGTGTAACTTTAATCTGTCATAACCGGATTAAACCTTGTAACTTTAATCTGTTACATCCGGACTTAAGTTAATTCACTCCTAATGTGATGGAAGTTAATGTAATCTAACTTAATGCAATTTATTCTTAACATATCGTAGTGTGAGTTATTACTATATTAACCTAACCTAATGTAACCTAACCTAACCAAATTTAACTTAACCTTAACTTAATCTACAGTAACCCGATCTAACCTGTCCTTACTTTCACTTCCTTACTCTCCCTTATGTCTCTGTCTCTCACTCTTTCTCTCTCTCTCTCACTCTCACTTTCTCTCACTCTCTCACTCTTACAAATCATCTATCACTATTTTTAAACAAATTTTTTCTTCCATTCAATTCCAAGTTTCAATAGACGTTCTAGGAAAGGCTTAACATAACTGCGGACAAACGTAAAAAAAAAATACATGAGACGAATCCGGATTGATGGGTGTGTCCACGAACGCCTTCAATGGTAAACAAGATGGCCGGGTACCTTGTCAACATCAGGTCACTGCTTGGGATAGGAGAGAGGAGGTGTGGGCCAAAATGTTTTTATATTTACAATTAAAATAGAAAATTTAGAGAAATATTGATCCGTACATCAAGCACACGATGGCTAGGGTAGCACATGTACACAAAGTTGTTATAAACATGTACATAGTTGTTATTGTATTGTTATTGCACATTTGAAATACAGTATTATTATTTTGAATGTACACTTATTACATCAACAGTCATAAATGTACACACGAATATATGATGTACACCCACATTAGACCTACACACCCGGAAATGTACACACGATCATACAATGTACACCCACACTACACCTCCATCCATACTGGTAAATATACACACGATCAAATAATGTAAACACACACACACACACACACACACACACACACACACACACACACACACACACACACACACACACTACACCTACACAGCCGAAAATGTACACACAATCAAATAATATTCATCCTGCACAGTCATAAGTGTACACAAATATGCACTAATGTGTGTACATGTGCACCTCACACTGCTCCCAGAGGTCAAGACTGCCAACAGGAAATTCTTGGGGCGAAATCTAGCTCTGAACTGAGGAGAGAGAGAGAGAGAGAGAGAGACACTTACAGACAGAGATAGACTGACAAACAGAGAGAGAGAGAGAGAGAGAGAGAGAGCGCACCTGTACACAGTTTGCAGGTTGCAGTAATATTTAAGTAAGGTGAAAGAGGCAGAAGAAGATGGATCGTTTTATATTAACTGTACATGTGTGTGTGTGTGGGGTGTGTGTGTGTGTGTGTGTGTGTGTGTGTGTGTGTGTGTGTGTGTGTGTGTGTAATTAAACCTGTACTGTTATTTGTGTATCGACCTTTTGAATTCCACATCATGGGAATCCCTACACCTGTACGTTTTACCTGTAATTAAACTTTTGGCTAAATTCACTAAGGTAGACTGTTACTTTACCTGTGGAGACATCGATCTTCTCTCCTTGTATAATTTCGCGTAACTTTAATCCTTTTTACACGTGTACAGGAGCTGGAAGAGTCCAAGAGACAAGCTTTTATCCTGTAGGACCCCCCCACACACACAGGTAAGCGATGATAGTATTCCAGGTACGCATCACCCATACCTGTAATAATTCTTCATATTTACCAAAGTCCAGGAAGATCAAGTACAAGTTGCCGCCCAAACACTCCCAAGACGTGACCTGCCTTCACAATCAACCTCACACACACACACACATATACGTACACATTGTTACGCTACATATATATATATATATATATATATATATATATATATATATATATATATATATATATATATATATATATATATATATATACACACACACATACTGCCTCTCTCACACACACACACACACACACACACACACACACACACACACGTACGTACACATTGTTCATCTACATATATATACACACACACATACTGCTCTCACACACACACACACACACACACACACACACACACACACACACACACGCACGTACACATTGTTCATCTACATATATATACATACACATACTGCTCTCTCTCGCACACACACACACACACACACACACACACACACACACACACGACGTACACATTGTTCATCTACAATATATACATACACACATACTGTCTCTCTCTCTCTCTCTCTCACACACACACACACACACACACACACACACACACACACACACACGTACGTACACATTGTTCATCTACATATATATACATACACATACTGCTCTCTCTCTCTCTCTCTCGCACACACACACACA